TGACATTCCACTCTTTTGTAATTTTTTTTGATATTAAGGGTCAATATGAACAGATTTATAAATAATTTAATAAAATGATATTTGATAATAATTGAGTGATCTTAGTATAATTAACCTTTCGAATTAATGTGACATATAAATTGAATTAATTTAATATGATCAACCAAATCCGTTTCTTGAAATACCGAAATTACCATCGTTCACAAAAAAAAAAAGAAATACCGAAATTACAAATTATAATTCTATTTTAATTTTAATAATACATAAAGATTGGAGAAACATGTAAACTAATAAAACTGATGAGATTTAATTTTAATAATACATAAAGATTGGAGAAACATGTAAACTAATAAAACTGATGAGAGAATCCGAACCTAATTTAAATTGTACCTAAATTGCTTATTTTGTTACCCAAGTATATTGATTGCGCTCTCTCTCTCTCTCTCTCTCTCATAAGTTTTTTATATATAGCCTTGATATTCAATATTCAATAGGTCTCGTTTGGTAATATTACTTTTTAGTCTAAAAGTCATTAAAAAAATCAAAAAAACCAACAATCTATATCAAAAAGTCAAAAAAAAAAATTTCTCTCTACTTTTTACACATCTTTTCGTAAAACATCAAAAAAGTCATCACAAATATACTTTTTTTTTTACCTTATATTTTAACCAAAAGATCAGAAAGTTACTAAAATTTCCCAAACGATGCCTCAGTACATTCCTCTCTCTCTTCCTAATCCTAGATACACCGTCTCCACACATTTGCTCTCTGTCTTGGTGGAGCATAAAATGAGACTAATCCTAATCAAATTAGGAAAAGGAAACACAAAAATTAGTATTTTATTAGATTTGAATTCTGAAATATTTTCTTATTGGTTGAAGTTTTTACTTCCTAGGTTTTGGTTTCCTTATTACTTAGGATTGGGTTTAAGCCTAGCCTAAATACACCCATGTAGCTCTATGTTTTAAATTCATTCATTAGTTTTGTGAACTTAGAGAGAGATACACAATACTGAGAGTGAGAGATAGATCATTGCAGAGAGAGAGAGAGAGTTTGTGAGATTAAGTGTGAGACTCGTGTAGCTCTTTTCACATTGATCTTAGTAAAATTTGCAGTGACTCCATGGATGTAGTCCGTTGCTTTGTGAGTTTGTTTTTTCTATTACTTTTCCGTTCTAGATTCGTTAGATTCGTTGTGTGCGTGATTATTTGCTGAGTCCTAAAATTTAGTATTAATCATATATACCATAACATACTCCACAAACATCATCAACCATGCAATCGTATTATTCACCCCAAACCTTGTTAAACATGGGGCTTTTCCCAAATTAAGTCAAATTAGTAACTTATTTCCCAAATTAAGCCTAATTTGGACGGAATTCCCAAACTAGGCTAAAGTGCTATTACAAATCACGCTTTCACTGTTTGGAGCTGAAAATTTGATGAATAGTGAAAGCACTATTACAAACCACGCTTTTAATTAAGAAAATGTGGTTACAAACCACGCTTTTAAGGTAAGTTTGTTTTCTAAAGAAAACGTGGTTTCAAACCACGCTTTCACTGTATATATGTTTTCTGAAAAAAACGTGGTTCCAAACCACGCTTTCACTGTGTTGTGAAGAAAAAGCATAATTAAAAACCACGCTTTCAACACTGTCCCAAACACATGCACTCACAAACACACTCTCTCTCTCTCACTCTGACTCTGACACAAATACAAACAAACACAAACATGACTCACACACTTTACTCACACACACACTCACACTCACATTCATACTATATATATATATAATTTTAATATATATTTATAATTTAATATATATATAAATTTTATTTTCATAAAATTGAAATCAATATTAAATATATATAATAATTTATAATAGCAAATAATAATCAATTATATAAAATGATTACTTTTTTATTTTAATTCTTAATTTTTTTATTTTACTGTTAGGGATAAATTTAATTTTTTTTTATTTAGGGTTTAAGGTTTAATTCTTAAAATTTATTTTTTTTTATTTTAGGGTTTAGGATTTATAAAAAAAAATAACTTTAAGAATTAAACTATAAATTCTAAAAGTTAAATCCTAAACCCTAAAATAAAAATAAATAAATTTAAAAAATTAAACCCTAAACCCTAAAATAAAAATAAATAAATTTTATCTCTAAACACTAAGATAGCTTTGGTAACATTTACGTTTTTGTTTATATTTATAAAAATTTTAAAACTGGTTTCTGTTATTTTTAGAAAACATAAATTACAAACGTGTTTGGTTGAACAAAATGTTTAAAAAAAATTAAAACATAACTAAAAAATATGTTTGTTCAAGCCATAAATATTTATATTTATATTTATTATTTATGACAATGGGATCACACATATTAAATTGAAAAAAAATTAATTAAAAAAAGTATTTGAAAAAAATTTAATTGGAAAAAACGTGGTTTGTAAAATTATTGAAATTTTTTTTTGGAAAAATCGCTGGTTTATAAATGGTTGTCTCAGTTTATAAATTTGAGGAAAAAACGTAAACTCAAAAAATGAGTTTACGTTTTCAGTTTTCAATTTTTTTTGAAAAAAATTTTTTTTTTTCAATTAAATTTTTTGCAATTATTTTTTTAATTATTTTTTTCAATTATAATATGTGTGATCCCATTGTCATAAATAATAAATATACCACGTTTTTTTTCATAATTTTTACAAACTAGGTTTTTTCCAATTAAATTTTTTTTCAAATATTTTTTTTAATTAATTTTTTTCACTCATGAATATGTGTGATCCCATTGTCATAAATAATAAATATAAATATAAATATTTTAGCCTTGAACAACAATATTTTTTAGTTTATGTTTTAAATTTTTTTTAAACATTTTGTTCAAACCAAACACGTTTGTAATTTATGTTTTTCTAAAAATAAACAGAAACCAGTTTATAAAATTTTTATAAACATAAACCAAAAACGTAAATGTTACCAAACGCTACCTTAATGTTTTGGGATAAAATTTATTTTTTTTATTTCAGAGTTTAGGGTTTAATTCTTAAAATTTATTTATTTTGATTTTAAGGTTTAGGATTTAGGGTTTAGAATTTATAGTTTAATTCTTAAAATTTATTTTTTTTTATAAATTTTAAACCCTAAAATAAAAAAAATAAATTTTAAGAATTAAACCTTAAGCCCTAAAATAAAAAAAAAAATGAATTTTATCCCTAAACAGTAAAATAAAATAAAAATTAAGAATTACAACAAAAAAGTAATCATTTTATATAGTTGATTATTATTTGTTATTATAAATTAGTATATATATTTAATATTGATTTCAACTTTATGAAATAAAATTTATATGTATATTAAATTATAAATATATATTAAAATTTATATATATATATATTGAGTATGAGTGTGTGTGAGTCATGTTTGTGCTTGTTTGTAATTGTGTTAGAGTGAGAAAGAGAGAGAGTGTTTGTGACTGCGTGTGTTTGGGGCAGTGTTGAAAACGTGGTTTCTAACTATGCTTTCTTCACAACATAGTGAAAGTATGGTTCGGAACCACGTTTTATTCAGAAAACATATGCACAGTGAAAGCATGGTTTAGAATTACATTTTTTTCAGAAAACAAACTTACCTTAAAAGCGTGATTTGTAACAGCATTTTCTTAATTAAAAGCGTGGTTTGTAATAGCGCTTTCACTATTCATCAAATTTTCAATTCCAAACAGTGAAAGCGTGATTTGTAATAGCGCTTTAGCCTAATTTAAAAATTCCGTCCAAACTAAGCTTAATTTGAAAAATAAATTACTAATTTGGCTTAATTTGAAAAAAGCCCCGTTAAACATGGCCGAAGAGAATTTCATGACCCACAATAACGTTGAAGAGGCTTTCCCATTGGCCAACATGGCCAAACACTTCAATCCTCACTTCGACGCCATCAACAACTTCATCGCCGCGTACGGAGTCCATGTTGCTGCCTCTCACAAGAAACCCGATGGCAAAGGCGGCATAGATTGGTATGCTGTTCTTGGTGTAAGAATTTATGTATTATTGATTGATATTTGATTGATGTATTCTTGATGTGTTGTATTACAAATCAGAGTGGCATTATATAGGAGAGGGTTTGGGTAGTAGGTGAGGAGTAGGTGAGGGTAAATTGGTGGTAGGTGGAGTGTAGTAGGTGAGTGTGAATGGTAAATTCTAACAGCCCCCCGCAAACTCAAGGAGGATAGGAACTAACCAACTTGAGTTTGGAGAGAGTTACAAAACAAGAAAATACATAAAAATAAACAAGAAAATACATAAAAATAAAAAATAAAAAAAAAGATAGGAGACACTGTATGGTCGTGGCAGACCGTTGGTGAAGACTCTGAAAGGTGGTGCCATAACGTGGTAGAGGACACTGGATGGTGGTGTCATAACATTGTAGAGGACACTGATGGTGGTGCCATAACGGTGTAGAGGACACTAAAGGGGGTGTCATAACGGTGTAGAGGACACTGGATGCTAACCGGAATCAAATGTAGAAGACAGTTTATGGGTCATGTCG